CGTGGACCTCCAGTTGCCAAAAAGCATTTGAGGAGGTCAAACGCCTATTCGCCAAAGAGCCTGTCCTGAAACATCCGGACACGTCACAAGCATTTGTGGTACAAGTGGACGCCAGTGACGTGGCCGTTGGAGCTGTCCTTCTGCAGGAAGACACTACCGGTATCCTAAAGCCCTGTGCCTATACCTCGCGTAAGTTCACGACAACGGAAAGGAATTGGGCTATATGGGAAAAAGAGGCCTTCGCAGTAAAATGGGCGTTACAGACCTGGAGGCATCTTTTGGAGGGCAGCTCACAGCCATTTGAGGTCTGGACAGACCACAAGAATCTGGAGGCACTCCAGACACCTCGCAGGTTGTCCCCAAAACAGGTCAGGTGGGCGCAATACTTCCAACGTTTCCGTTTCTCTCTGAAGTACAAGCCAGAGGTGAAGCTGTTTTTGGCCGACGCTTTATCCCACATGCCTCAATATCACAGCAAAAGAGCAGAGGGATTACAGTCTCTATTCCCTCCCATACGTGCCGAGGCATGTGTTCTAGAAACATGACAAACCTGTAGTTGGATATTGGCACTGAAACAGGCCCTGTCCACTGATGAGTGGTTGCGTGACAATCATCCGCTTGTAACCCACCGAGATGGGCTAGCCTGGTGGGGGGATAAACTATATATACCCGGTACGTTAAGACAACAGGTCCTAAAACATTGCCATGACCAGAAAACCGCAGTTCACTTTGGGTTCCTGAAAACCCTGCATTTAGCCAGGAGGCAATTTTGGTGGCCGAAGATGCGAAAGGATGTTGACCAATATGTCCAGGGTTGTCACATTTGTGCGGTTTCCAAACCAAGACCCGGGAAGCCCTTGGGCCTGTTACAAACCGTAGCCGAACCGGATAGACCATGGGATGAGATCTCCATGGACTTCATTGTAGAACTTCCCAATAGCAGGGGATATACCGTGATATGGACAGTGCTTGATCTCTTCTCAAAGCAAGCCCATTTTGTTCCTTGTAAAGGACTACTATCGGCACAACGGCTGGTCCGACTATTCATTCAACATGTCTATCGCTTGCACGGAGTACCCAAACGGATCATATCGGACAGAGGAGTACAATTTACGGCTAAGTTCTGGTGAGGTTTCCTCCATGACATAGGAGCAACACAGGGCCTGAGTTCTGCTTACCACCCGAGTACAAACGGAGCCGTAGAACGGACCAATGCCATGGTGGAACGTTATCTGCGTTCCTATATTTCATACCAATAAAACGACTGGGTAGACTACTTACCGTTTGCTGAAACAGCGTACAATAACTCAGTACATCGCAGCACCGGATATACTCCCTTCCAGATTGTCATGGGACGAGACTTCCCAGCTATCCCCGAACTAGATCTCCACCCTCCGAAACCCACCACTCCAAATGACTGGTCCTGCAACATTCAGAAAGTGTGGCCTCTAGTAAAGGAAGCTTTGAGGAAGGCGTCCGATAAATACAAAACTCATATGGACAGAAAACGAACCATCTGTCCATCATTCCAGATCGGTGACTGAGTGTATCTCTCCACTAAGTATCTAAAGTTACGGTTACCAAGTAAAAAATTAGGTCCCAAATATATAGGCCCCTTTCCCATCGTAAAAGTTATAAACCCAGTCACATTTATGTTGAAATTACCCCCCTTACTGGGGAAAATCCATCCAATATTCCATTCTAGCCTATTGAAACCAGCTGTCGTATCCTCTGACCCATCGCACAAAGCCCCAGGCCCTGTGACCAGGTCCCACTACGAGATTAGAGACATTGTTGACTCCAGGTACCATAGAGGCCAGCTGCAATACCTAATAAGGTGGATGGGGTATCCAGACACAGACTCCTCGTGGGTTCCGGTGGGTGATATAGATGCCCCACAACTCCTGAGATGGTTCCACAGGAACAATCCCCATAAGGTATGCCTAAAGTAAGATCACTAACGACTATTTGTCTCTTCTTCCCCTACAGGCAGACACCTGATAGGGGGGGCCGCCTGTCGAGCGGCACGAAGCACTCGACACCATGACTCCGACCGCTGTGTCATGGATGGCGTGCCCGATGGGTGGTAGGTGGATGTGGGCCACCGGGTGATGGTGAAGGGGTTAGGTGTGACGGCTAGGAGTTTCTGCGCACGGGTGTTTAATGGGGTCGCGTGGGCATAGAGGAGATCCTGCGAGCAACACAGCTCCGTCAAAGACCGGGCGTGGATGACGTCACCGCTGCGCGCCCGGATTGACAGCTGCGGGAACTTTGAATCTCCCCAGCTGACAGCACTCGGAGGCTGCCCTATAAAAGGACTCTGTAGCCGGCTCCCGGCAGCCGCGTTTTTGTTTGCATCGCAATCCGGTCTCTACCGAGAGCTGTTGTTACCGATTAAACCAAGATACTCTGATTCCTGGTCGAGTGTGTTTCTTGTGCGTCGGTGATCCAATCCAAGGAAGGCTGTGTCATGCTATTGAACTGCAACATTGAAACTGGCAGAAAACCTCAAAAACTCCATTTTGTAGTATTCCTGTTTTCTTCCATCCAGATTGTCAAATGTCAAGAGATTAATAGCATTTCTTAACAGTCAGGGATAGTGATGCACAGTGGTCTTAAAGATCATCTAAATTCTAAGTCTAAAGTATTGGAGAAAGGCACTACTTCTTTTCAGGTCCTGACAAAGCTAATGCAGAAGAGTGACCAATGCTGTCTCCATCTCATGCTCAGGCCTGAAGAATGAATGAGTCAGTTCTTCTCAGACTAAGAGGAACTCCGATAACCTGCTTCATCTAGGGTGTTCTGGTATTATGCTACAACAATGGTCTCAGTAACCTTTCCTAATAGGAGAAGTTAGAGAACAGGAAATAATTGTGAAGAATGGGGGTATCAAAAAAGATCTCTAGTCTCCAAACAAGGAAGAGTCAAAAGACAAATAAGAACATGTATTACAGTTGCGATACCTTTGACAAAATGTATACTCGAACTCTTTGTTTACATGTTTTGTATGTTTTGTTGTTACTCGTTTTGTCTTGTTTGTACTTTTAAACAAATTTTTTAAAATTAAAAAAAAAAAGACAGCAGGTACCATGTTCATGTCCCTCCCAAACTGAGAAAGCGATTACCTCCCCAAATCAGCCTTTTATCTCCCACCCATCCATGCATCCTGTTGCCACTTGAGCCTAAGATAGAAGCAAGGAGGATCATAAAATCAAGCTCTCAAATCCCCAAGGACATGCCAGAGAGAAACCTATCACTTCACTGGGGTCCATAGTCTAATATGAATAGCAGGAAACATGGTAAGACACTGCTCAGCTACTATTTTGGATTCTACTTAGGAGAAGTAAAAAATAAATAAATTTGAGAGACTCTATTTGGAAATGTGCTGTGCAAAACTAATCAGACGGAAAGTTTCCCATTTGCTATCATCTTAGATGGGAGTTGGCCATTTTGCAAAAGGCTGTCAGCCTATGATGCAATAAATGAGGTCACGCAATGACACATTTTCACTTATCACCACAGTTTAGGTCGGGGGTGTCAAACTCGATTTCATGGAGGGCCACATCGGGGTTGTCTTGGACTGGGGGGGGGGGGAATGTGGGCGTGGCTGGTGTGAGCATGGCCAGCTCAATATCACTTATGTTGCAGGCAACTGTGGTGGCCCAGGTGGCACTGTGGAGATCCATTGTCTCCAGGGAAGGAAGGCAAGATCAGGGAAAGCGCCAAACCCTTGTCCTCCAGTGGAGCCTTGCTGCTGGAGGCCAAGTGCTAAGGCAGGACTTTCCTTCTTTCCTTCTTTCCTTCCTTCCTTCCTTCCTTCCTTCCTTCCTTCCTTCCTTCCTTCCTTCCTTCCTTCCTTCCTTCCTCCCTCCCTCCCTCCCTCCCTCCCTTCCTTCCATCTTCTCCTTTCTTCTTCCTTCCCACTCTTTCCTTCTTTTTCCTTCCTTGTTCTCTTCCCATCTTTCCTTCTTTTTCTTTTTTTTTCTTCTTTCCTTTTCTTCTTTCCTGCCCCTTCTTGGATGCTCAAATGCAAAAGGGGAAACATTTCTCCTTTTGTTTTGTTTTGCTTTTAGTTTGCTTTGCTGGCTCTCTGCTAGTGAAAATGGAGCCTGGGGGGATGCATGTGCCCTCCCAAGCCCGTTTTTGGCCTAGACGGCCTGCTGAAACCTGCTAGCCTCATTTTCAGCATGAATGGCCTGCTGAAGCCCTCTGCCAGCAAAAATTGAGCTTGAGAGGGCTACGTGTGGTCCCGGGGGCCCCATTTTTGGCCTGGATGCACGGGCCTTCCTGGCCTCTATTTTCATTGGCAGAGGCAAGGGTGAAATTCACTTACCTTCGCTACCAGATAGCAAATGTGAGCATGCACATGCACCTCCTCCACACATGCACAGACGTGATGACATCCAGGCAGGTGGGCGGAATCTCCCACCGCCGGCACTATCGGATTGCATGATCTGGATAGATCCAGCTAAATTTCACCACTGGGCAAAAGACTGCAGGAAGCTGTCCAGGCCAAAAACGGGGCCCGGGGGGGGGGGCTGTGCACGGCCCTCCCAAGCTCCATTTTTTCTGGCAGAGGCACTGCAGGCTGGTCCTTTGCCATTTCCACAGCTGCCCCACAAGCTGAATTAAGCCCCCCATGAGTTGGATGTGGCCCGCAGGGCTTTTTTTTTTTTTATTTGATTTATATTGAGTTTGACATCCCTGTTTAGGCTTATGCTTGAACTCAACCTGTGTTCCCAGGCTCATTTGTTGTTGACAGATATTCCCAGAGATTAATGTAGCATTCAACTGTCCCATATAATCAGAGCCCAACTCCCAGGATTCCTTGGAGAGATGTTGATCACGTTGGCAGGGTTTTCTTATGTCTGGGAATTGCCTTGTTTAAGAGTAGTACATTGTATCTTTTATGCTGGTTTTTAATCTTTACATTAATATTTTCCATATTTAAGAGTTGAGCTGTTATTTCTTTACTTATTGCTAAAATTTTGCCTTTTTAGGTCATGAGATCATTGGTATGGAGAATCTACCTGAAGGAGCAGGGATAATTGTTTATTACCATGGAGCTATTGCTATAGACTTTGCCTTATTTGTAGCTTGTTTTTATGCAAAAACTGGGAGACTAGTCCACTCCGCGATTCATTATGGCCTGTATTTAGTACCAGGTAAATATGCTAACTTTTAATTACATTTTAATTTTAATTTAATTAGGGCATTGCCTTTAGTGGTACTTTAAGTATTCTAAAAGTTCATTTCCCTTGCTAAAAGCCTAAAGCATGCCATAAAATAGATGCAAGATGTTTTAAAGCAAGTGTTTTGTTTGTGCAATTTAAGATCCATAAAGACATTTATAGCTACAGTGACTATATTTCCTTGGAAAAAATAAAGGACAAACCTGAAAAGTGGGCAAGCCAGATTAAAGGGGGGGGAGGGTAAAAATCCTTCATTAGGATTTGTGAAAATATTATTTATATTCATAACTTTGCTTTAGAAGGAAAATTCAAAAGCAAAACCAAGTAAATATATAATTAAATCAACTAAATCTAAAAGAGAGCTTTCCAAAATAAGGGACTATCCTTTTTAATAATAGACATAGGGTCACTATATCCATAGCCCATTTGCGTTTCATTTGCTGCTCAGAAAATGGCTATTTAGATCAGGGGTGCTATTCAGCAGGTTCTGACAGGTTCTGGAAAACTGGTAGTGGAAATTTTGAGTAGTTCAGAGAACCGGCAAATACCACCTCTGGCTGGCCCCAGAGTGGGGTAGGAATGGAGATTTTGCAATTTCTTCCTAAAGGAGTGGGGAGGGAATGGAGATTTTACAGTATCCTTCCCCACCACGCCCACCAAGCCACACCAGCCACGCCCACAGAACCGGTAGTAAAAAAAATTGAATTTCAACTCTGATTTAGATCCTATTAAACATGCCAGATATACTTCTGCAAAGAGACAGGTTTAACCAAAGTCAGAGTTCCAAAATCTAAGAAGAAAATCACTTGTACTAAAAACAAATCTTCCCTAAGATATAGTAGAATGAATTTACAAAGTGTCACATACTAATACATCAAAATGCCATACATTGGACTTGAACTGAAGAACATGCACCATGAAATACGTCTTCACAATAGGCACTTTTAGCAAAAAAAATTTCAGAGTTCCCCATTAGAATATGACATACACACAATTCACTGTTACATAGTGAGTTGCCTTAGTGAGTAAAGGAACCCAGCAAGGATGTTTAAATGAATTCCTGAGTACAGCCCTTTTTTTCATAAAACTATGCATTAAATAGTGAGAGAAAAGTTTGCTGATTGATTTTTTTTTCTTTGAATCTCTTTGAAAGGAGAAAAATAAAAAGCGGAGTCCAGCTTGGAGAATGTGAATTTTCAAGCACTTTAGTAACCAAAAATCCAATGCACCCAGACACCATGGTTAAATAAATAATCAATTACATTATATTAGAGAGTTGATTCTATTTAGGATATACTGAACGTCTTTCTCAATTCCTTTCATACTTATTTGTCTCAAGATTCAGCCTCCTGAGATCTTTTATCTCAGTTTATTCATTGGAGCTATAATAAGATAAGGCATCTAACAGCCGAAACCCTGCAAATTGACTTCCAGATAATGACTTGCTGCCATTGATTGGTTTGTTTGTTGGTTTTTTAATTAATATGAAGGTGTCTAAATTTCCTGCTAAACCCAGGAAAGAAAGCAATAGCCATAAATCCCATTGAAAGCAATAACTGCAAAATTCACTCTGACCTGAGGGATACAATGTGGAAATGGAAAGAATGAGACCGTTTTTGGGTTCAACCCAGGGGTGGGTTCCACTTACCTTTACTACCGGTTCGCAGCGGGAGCATGCACAGATCACCCATGATAACAATGGGCGGGTGGGCGGAGCCTCCTGCCAGTTTTACTATCAGTTCTATAGAACCGGACTGAACCAGGAGCAACCCACCACTGGTTCAACCCATACCTGGCTACACTGCAACATTCAGAAAAGGTATGTTCCTTAAAGCCCGCAGAATGCTTAGGGGGAAAAGGCAGAAATCACAATAATTGTCACGATGGTTATTATGCCATATTATACAACATTATGGTTACAGCCATATAATGCTTTTATGTAACATTATGTAACATGATTTTCTCTGTGGTTTTTTTTTAAAAAAAACAGGAATAAAACTGGCTTTGGATGTAGTGGGTTGCGCAAAAGGCACAAAAGTAAACTGTGTTGAAATTCTCAAGAAAGGCGATTTATTAGGAATTTCACCTGGTGGACTAAGAGAAGCAAACTTTAGTGATGAATATTACAACACAGTCTGGGGAACTGGCATAGGTTTTGCTCAAGTGGCTTTAGAAACACAAGTGGTAAGTGATCTATTGCTCATGTTAAGGATGATGTTCCAAGAGCTCCTATATGAATATCCTTAAGTGATTAAATTTCCATGTTCATAGTTAGACAATAGCTTTTATTTGTTTTTGTTTTTTTAAAAAACCAGGTCAGGCACAGGGCAATACAAACTGACTGCAATGGCAATTATGTGACCTTCACACTAGGAAAGTTGTAAACGACAGAGTATTTTTGGGCTGTATTTTTTTTCAGCACTGTCATAACTTTGAACAATTGATAAATTAATGAGGACTGCAGTACCTGTATATTCCAGGTTTCAGATTAAAACATAAAGTGAACAAGATTTCACATTTAATATATTAATTTCCCAGTGTCTCATATCACCAGGCATACTCTAGTGACTTAAACAGAAATTCTACAGAAAATAAACAGAAAATCATTCTATTAAAAAGTGAGATACAAGAAACAATACCTGTCAAATATGAAAGCACCAGAAAGAGAGAAAATAATCATTGAACTGTTTTAAGTTTCAAAAGTGAGAACAGGAGCATGTAAGACAGTTTATTTCTGTTCCATTAATTTCAACAAAGTGGATCATGTCCTGAGGATGTATTAAGGTGAATAGAACGGGAGTATCAGAACACTTGATTATTCTCCTGGGGGGGTGGGGGTGGGCAGGTCTTTTCAATAAACAAGAAACTATTCTAAGAACTGACTTTATATAAATGGAATGATGCAGAATAGGAAAGAAATAGAAATAGGAGCTGATAGGTGAATGGACAGACAAATTACCGCTTTAACCTTTATAACAAGTGGATTACAAGAATGGCAAAATCAGATTACTAGACTCAATATTAGATGTCAATTCATCTGAACTCAAAATAAAAAAGTTTTATTAGAGAGACTTTATGAAGAAAATAAAAATCAAAGTAAAAAAAAATTCAAAGTTATTTCTAGATATTAAGAAAACAAAAGTAATGCCAACCTGCACGCTTACAGAACTTTTAACTGATAGTACATTAGTAAAGGTGATGGATAGTTTGGGGGTTTTTTTGGAGTCAATAAAAGATAAAGATGGGCGGGGCACTCCAGAAGAAAAACATATTTATCCTAGAGAGGAATGTAACAATAAGCTTAAACAAGATCATAAAAGGTAATGTTATTTCAGACATCTAGGTACAATTACTAAGAATAACATGGACTGAAATCGATTACTCACACAGATTGTAAGATTGAAGAAAGTGGTTCAGAAGCATGCGAATGTGAGTAGACAAATAGGTACCACTTCGGTGGGAAGATAACAGAATTCCATGTACCTCAGTGTATAGTCATGCTAGCCACCTGGCCATGGAAATATCTTCAGATAATGCTGGCTCCCTTGGCTAATAAACAGAGATGAGCCTGTCCTTTAGAATCAGACAAACTGGACAAGGGAAACCATTATTTTTACCTTTAGAAAAAAAAATAAGTTAGCATGGTGAGCATGTATTCAGGCAATCACCAAATTGATGGCAAAGAACTAGAAATATATTTTTCTCTTTCTTACTAAGTCATGTACAGTATATAATAAAGATAATAAAAATCTAATGGGACAATTGACAAATAGGAAAGCAGATAAACAGAATACAGCTAGGTAAGGGGAGAGAACAGACTTAAGAAAGACAGGATTAGAGTAATCTCAGTAAAAAGGTTAATGTTGCAAAGGAAAGTGATTCTTATATCTGTATTTACTGGCATTTGCAAAAGGCTGAAAAGTTTGCCAGCTACTCCAAGTTCTGGTGGAAGCAAAACAATGTCACCTTTTCATTTCATCCTTAAAACCAAGTGAACTGCTTTCCTTCCTTTCAAGGCACCAATGAAGCAATGATGAAAATGAAAGTACAAAAAATGAAAAATATGCTGAGCTTCAGGAACTAGAAAATTAAGACACAACAAAGGGGTTATATTATTTTCAAATCAACTCTCAGATGACATTGTTATTGCAGATTCTGTGATGAAAGTCTTCTGGTTAATGTTTTACGAGGGACAGCATAGAATTGGTTGTAGTAACAGTTATACTTTATATTAGCCCTTGTTTTCAAAGGGCACGAAGCAGTAAACAAATTTCAAAAGGCAAATGGACTTGAATTAATTTTGTTAAAAGTCCCAAAACAAATTGAAACGCTTTCCCAATTTATACCAGTTTCTATATTTCTCCCTCTCTCTGTTTAGCCAATCATCCCCATGTTTACGCAAAATGTCCGTGAAGCTTATAGAACAGTTGGAAAAACAAGTAAGCTGTTTCTAAACTCCTGTTATGATTCATTGTCTATCCCTTAAAAATTATTTTCTCAAACATTTTTTTACAGCTCTTATATATTTTTAGTAAACCTAGTTCCCTAACTTGCTTTAAGAAATTCACCCTGCCACGTTTCTTAGGTTATTGCCTACAGTTGCAGTTACTGTGAATCAATGGAGAGATGAAGTGACTCAAAACTGAATAAAGCACATGTAAACATTACTTTTTGTATCGATGAAGTAGTCCAAATGGGCAAAGCATTTTATGTCCTGAAGCAAATAGAATGATTCTCCTTTTCCTTTGTCTCTCCAAGAGAAAAATCTAACTCTTTAAATAATTAAATTTTATTTTGGCATGACAACATGATAGTATACTTCATATTAGGTAAAAGGCAGCTAACAATCCGATTGGATGAAAAAGATAAATAAGGCTATTCATCACCTGTTTGAGACTCAGATACAATTCTGGTACCTTCTTCTCTACTCTATTCTAGCATGAGCCCTGGGGACAGAATTCTGCATAAAGTATATATAATGTTATATATATAATACTATACAACATAGGCTCTGGTAATAATTATGGAATATTAGCTGTCTAGTCACACATACTCATCTAGGTAAATTCAAGAAAGCAAAAATTAGGCTGATTTTAGTAAAGTGTCTTTAATGTTAGCATTAGAAGTAAGTACAGAATTTTAGAAACTGCAAAAGAAATTTCCTTCAATTAGTATTAATTTACTCAGGTGGAGACTTTCAGAATGTTTTAAACAATTTCTTCTAGGTTTTCTTACCCTCTAAATTTAATTGTGTTTTATGAAATAAGCTATTAATGGACATCCCTTCTTTTTCTGGGAGGTCTATTTACAACCACACTTCCATGACTCAAACTGATCCAAACTCCTAATCATATAGTCGGTCCAGACATATGATCACAATTGGGACTAGAGCTTCCATTGCTAAGTGATCCAGTCATTGACTGAATTGCACACATTTTTATGACCTTTTAGGCTGTAGTTGTTGCATATTGAGCCTGCCGCTAGCTATTTCCCCGCAGCAACCAGCATGAATGGTTCAGCTGTTCTTTGGTTGGCCGCATTGACAGCTCGTATAAAAGGGAGCTGTCAAACGCAGGTTGTTGACTGACTAAGTGTGTTAATAAAGTTGTTGCCTGCCACCGCAGCTCTCGCCTTAGTCATTGCCGATCGGGTTTGAGAATGAAATAGTAGTCATTAAGTGAATCATCCCAGTCATTAAGCAAAAATGTGGTTGATAAGGGAATCTGGCTTCCCCATTGACTTTGCTTGTTGAAAACCCGCTGGAAAAGTTGTAAATGAGATAATATGACTTACATTGTTATAAATGCAGCCTCGTTGCCAAGTATCCAAATTTTTATCAAGTGACCACGGGCACATTACAACACTTCTTGAAGAGTGAGGACTAGTCATAAGTTACTTTTTCAGCACTGTTGTAACATTCAGTTGTTAAACAAATGGTTATAAGTCAAGAACTACTGATATAGAAAGGGAAACCATCCCTGCACTTGACAGGATATTTACCAAGCTTGTCTTCATTATGTCCATATCTGCCCCTGGCTGGAATAGGAACAGAGCACTCCAACTATTCCGCGTATATTATTTGATTATGCAAGAATATTCCAACCCCAGAATAATTTTTCATAACTCTGAATTCATGGGCATTTATTTCTCCATTTAGAAGATGCAATGTAACTTTAAAAAAAAAAGAAAAAGAAGTGAATAGGGATTTCTACATCATTGCGAATTAATTTTGTCTTCCATTTGATTTCTTCTTCAGGGCTAATGAAATGGCTGTATGAATATTTTCGATTCCTTATCCTTCCTATATACGGAGGGCTTCCAGTCAAATTGTGCACCTATATTGGAGAACCCATCCCTTATGACCCAAATATAACAGCCAAGGAACTGGCTGAAAAAGTAAGGGCATTTTTCACTCAAAGCAATCTTTTAAATACGCATGCTTTAGTTTCAAGGTATACAAAGAGGTAGTGCCAGTGGTGGGTTGCCTCTGGTTTGGATCGGTTCTATAGAACCAGTAGTAAAACCAGAGGGAGGCTTTGCCCACCGACCCCAACATCATTAGAACGCTTCTGTGCAATGCCCCATTGCGAATCGGTAATAAAGGTAAGTAGAACCCACCCCTGGGTAGTTCTTATATATTTTAAATATAACATGAATTCATCAATCCATTCTCTCACTGAAATTGCCACAGGTAATCATGAAAGTAGGGGGAGAAATAATCTAAAGCAAAAATAAATTTGGAAGTTGCATCACATATTTTTGTATACTTAGTTAATACAATGCAATGCATTATGATTAAGAGAAGGCAGCTTAAAATATGAGAAATTCTGAGTGCATGTGTTCCTGATGGACTATCTAGACATACAGGAAAATCAATCCAAATCCACTTTTGGTTTATACAAATAGAGGAATAATCTAAGAAAAAAAAAACTTATTAAATTATCCAGGTCTTATAAATTTCTTTATTTCTCTTCTGGCTTTCCTTTCAAAACGTGCGTCCAAAATGAGTGGATCATGCATTACAATACTGCAGTGCTTCCTTCATCATTTCACCCGCTTCAGCCCTCCTCACCCCCAATACCTCTGCTAAGCCTACTTCCATTTGTTCACCCCAATGTCTACTAAATATAGGTACTTGGATAATTACTGTATGCCTGCTGAAATATGAATGGTGCTGGTTGATGGAGAAAGACAAATGTTATTACTATCTTTAAAAGGAAGGAATAGAAACACCTGGGTAGATCTGGGAAGGCTCTAAAACAGTTTATAAAGTTATAAATCACTAAGTAACCTGGAAGTAATGCAGTGTTTACTAGAAGTGAATATGAATTTTTCAAGAAATCTTGCCAGATTAACATTATCCTATTTTATGGGTGGTCACTTTCCTGAGAAACTATGGAAATTCCTTGGTTGGAAATCTTGCTCTCCGAAGACATAACCCATCACATTATGAGTATCAGTAAAGCACTGATTAGATTAGATGAATCCAAACTGGCATGAAAACCTTTTTCAAAAAACATTCAATGTTTTGAAAGGGTGTTGCAGGATATGGCTTCATGTTGGGACACTTTAAAACATTTATTCATAACTAGGATTGTAATGTAAATATATGTTTATGAAATTTGCAGATGATATATGCTTGCATAGGTAGAACAAAGAAGAACAGGAAAGTGGCAACTTAAATCTTATGAGGTACATTGATCCTTGAGAAGTTAAGTCAAAGGAAATACCACAGTATTAAAGGAGGCTCGCATACAAGAAGGTCATGCTAATTCTTTACATTCCCAGGATATAGGACACAGAACAAGAAAGTTAACTCCAGTGAAATAATAGGCAAACTTTTTTGAGAGTAAATACAGGGTAACAGGACAACCTATTGTTTGAAAGTGTTTGTAGGTGGGATGGTAGAAGGCAAGGTTCATGACTGCTGCTTCTACTATGAGTTTAATTTTTATCTGAAACATTTAAGCAGGTCTCCTGTGCCTCTGAAGCTGAGAGTTGTTGTTACTATTATTACTATTTCTATTATTATTATTATTATTATTATTATTATTATTATTATTATTATTATTATTATTATTAGTTAATCTTTAGTGAGATTCACAGCCTTTGAGGCTGGTTAATAGCTCAGCAGCTCAAGTCCTAACCAAGGACCTAGGAACTATTAAGGTATCGTTGGAGGATGTAAGCTGTTCCAAATAAGGTGGTTTTTTGTAGAGTCAAAATGTTCAAGTCCGGCAAATTTAGAATTTCTAAATAGCGGGGTAGCCCTTTGGGTATTGCTCCAAGGGTTCCAATTACAATCGGGACAACACACAATTTCTTTTTCCACAGTCGCTCAACTTCAATTTGCAAATCCCGGTACTTTGTGATTTTTTCTTGCTGCTTATCCGTGCATCACCAGGTATTGCAATGTCAATGAACCATACTTTTTTCTTTTCAACTATTGTTATGTCAGGTGTGTTGTGGACCAAGTGCCTGTCAGTCTGAATCCTAAAGTCCCACAAGATCTTGAGTTTCTCATTCTCTAAAACTTTCTCAACCTGATGTTCCCAGTGGTTTTTGCTGTACTCAAATCCAAACTTCTGGCACAATTTCCAGTGAATGATCTTAGCAACATGGTCATGGTAGTCAGTTTGTGAAATTTTGCTGCACCCACTGATCAGGTGGTCGACTGTCTCATCTTTCTCATTGCAGAGGTGGCATTTGTTGTTGGTGGTAACATGTTGAATTTTTGCCTGCATGCAATTTGTGGCTAGGGCTTGTTCTTGAGCTGCCAAAATAAAGCTTTCTGTTTCTTTTTTCAGTACTCCTGATCTTAACCAGTTCCAAGTTAGTTTCTGGTCAGCTTTGCCTTCAATACTTTTCAAGTATTGGCCATGCAGAGCTTTGTGTTTCCAATTTTCAGCTTGCTGCTCAATTACTTCTTTCTTATATTCTGCTTTTGTTTTAGTTGTCTTTAAAAGGCCTCCTTTATTTACTTCCTTAATCATTGGTTCTTCACTTTTCTGGATGTAATCATTCAAGCTGCATTTTTCTTCTTCCACAGTCTGCTTTACTTGTAGGAGTCCTCGACCACCCTCTGCTCTTGGTAAATATAATCAGTCAACATCACTTTTAGGGTGCAAGGCATGATTCATTGTCATAAGCTTCCTTGTTTTTCTGTCCAAATTGTCTAACTCCATCTGGGTCCAGTCAATTATTCCTGCAGAGTATCTAATCACAGGTATAGCCCAGGTATTTATGGCTTTTATGATGTTTCCTCCACTCAATTTGGACATTAATATCTTACGAATTCGCTGAATGTACTTGGCTGAAGTTAATTCCTTGACTTTATTATGCATTAAGTCAGAGGCTTCTAAAATTCCCAAGTATTTGTAGCCTTCTTCTGATTTTACTGCCTTTATCATTTCTTCATTCTCTAGTTCTATTCCAACCTCTTCTATAATCTTGCCTGCTTTGGTTGCTATTGTTGCACATTTGTCAATTCCAAACTGCATACCAATGTCTTGGCTGAATTCTTTTGTGTTTTTAATTAATAAATTCAGTTCAGCTTTTGTTTTACCAAACAGCTTCAAATCATCCATGTACATCAAGTGCGAGATTTTCAGTCCTTTCTTTGCAAGTTCGTATCCACAGTTCATCTTCTTCAAAATGATTGTCAGTGGTAGCATTGAGAGTATAAAAAATAGAGGTGAAAGGGAATTGCCCTGGAAAATGCCATGTCCTGTTAAGACCCTCCTTAAGCGAGCGGCCTCCCACCCCGTCCACACCTTCGCTGCGCTTTGCTCCAGGCCAGGGAGTTATGAGATGGGGGGGGTGAAGGGAGGGGGGGAGAGACACACACACACACACACAAACATACACAGAGAGAGAGAGAGACACACACACAGAGTGATACACAGAGAGACACAGAGAGACACATACAGAGTGATACATAGAGGAGGTGAGAGGGGAAGAGAGGGAGAGAGAGATACAGAAGGAGAAAGACACAGGGAGAGAGAAGGGAAGACAGGGAGAGGGACAGACACAGACATACAGAAAGAGGGGGAGAGAGACATAGAGAATGGTTTTGTGGCTGGGTAGGCATGGTTGGGGGGGGGACATATGACTGGGTGAGAGTGAGTGAAATCGAGTTGGCCACACCTACCCAGGTTTTGTGGCTCCTGGTGTGTTTTTTTCTGTAGGAAACGGGTCCAAGTGGCCCTTTGAGTGTTTAAGGTTGCTGACCCCTGACCTATTGGAAGATGCCTTTTAGCACAGTGGCTCCAGCCTTTTGGGCACCAGGGACTGGTTCCATGGAGGGTTTTCCATGGACCAGAGGGGTCATAGTTTCGCATGCTGCCTGCATCCCAGGGACGGAGCTTCGCTTGTTTGTGTGGCTCAGTTTCTGGCATGCTGTAGCCCAGTGCTGGTCCACAGACCAAGGGTTGGGGACCCCTGCTTTTTGCATATTAAGAAGTGGTTTATTCTCCTGTTTTATTGGATAAAGTGAGAAATTCTATTATGGATTGGATGTTAAGTAAAATAATGCTTCATTTTCTGCCCTATTTTGACGACGTGCTCATTACCGCCGACAATGAGCATCAGCTAAGGGAAAGGCTGAGGGAGGTCCTAAGGAAATTCAGGGACGCGGGACTCAGAGTAAAAAGAAACAAATGCATGATTGCAGTCCCCTCAGTCGAATTCCTAGGATACAGGGTAGATGGCACCGGCATACACCCCACAGAGAGCAAGATCAGAGCAATCAAAGAAGCACCCACCCCCAAAGATAAGGCAGAATTACAGGCCTTCCTGGGACTATTAAACTTTTATGCCATCTTCCTTAAAGACAAGGCAACAGTGGCAGAACCCTTATATAGACTGTTAACTAAGAAAGCCATTTGGAAATGGGGGAAGGCTGAAGACAGGGCATTCGCCGGCATTAAAAAACTACTATCAGCTGAGAGTTTTCTAATCCAGTACAACGCAACGCTTCCCCTTGTTCTAGCATGTGACGCGTCCCCATTCGGGGTGGGAGCCATCCTGAGCCATAGACTCCCGAATGGCCTAGAAGCGCCCATCGCATACTACTTCCGAACTCTGTCAAGCGCCAAGCGAAATTATAGTCAGCTCGACAAGGAGGCCCTCACTGCCGTTTCGGGAGTAAAGAAATTCCACGAGTAATTGTTCGGGAGAGACTTTGAGCTAACCACCGACCATCGACCGCTCCTGGGTCTCCTCGCGGGAGATCAGCCAACACCGGCAGCACTATTGCCCAGGATGACACGCTGGGCCATCTTCCTCGCAGCATACTCCTATCGCCTGGTACATCGACCAGGGGCAGACATGGGCAACGCGGACGCACTCAGCCGATGCCCACTACCCGACAGCCTAGAAGACCCCACACCCAGCATCCCCATCTTGCTGATAGACGTTTTGGACTCCGGGCCCATAACATCAGCTGAGGTTGCGAGAGCCTCAACCAAAGACCACGTGATCCGGACAGTCGCTAGTTGGGTCATGAGGGGGTGGCTGGAAAAGATTGGGAGCAGAGAATTTAAACAGTTTGCGGGAAAACGGGACGAATTAACAATGCAAGGGGGTTGTTTGCTATGGGGCGATCGGGTTGTTATTCCCTTGCACCTACGGGAAAAAGTTTTAACATTGTTGCATGAGGGGCACCCTGGGATTGTAAGAATGAAGGGGCTAGCCAGGAGCTACGTCTGGTGGCCCAGCATGGATACAGACATTACCAAGTAGGTGGGGAGATGCCAGCCCTGCCAAGAGTCCAGATCAGATCCACCAACGGCACCCGTGAGGGAGTGGGAAAGACCCCAGGGACCCTGGTCCAGGATACACATTGACTTTGCTGGCCCATTTCACGGACAGACCTTCATGGTCGTTGTAGATGCATTCTCCAAATGGTTGGAGATCAAGCTAATGAAGGCCACTACCACCGACGCAACCATCAGGGAGCTAAGACAATTATTCGCCACCCATGGGTTGCCGGACATCCTAGTGTCAGATAACGGGCCACAATTCACCGCGACACAATTCGAGGGTTACTTAGCGGGACTAGGGATCAGACATGTCCTTTCGGCCCCATTTCATCCGGCTAGTAACGGTCAGGTTGAGAGATTTGTGAGGTCAGCAAAGGAGGCCCTTTCACGTTTAAGCCCCGGAGATTGGCAGGAAAGGGTAGACAAATTCCTAACAGCACAGCACTCCACACCCTGTACAGCCACAGGCCGAAGCCCGGCAGAGTTGTTAATGGGGCGGAAACTCCGAGGAGTACTAGACAGGCTTAATCCCAATTACGCCCCAGAAGCTTTCAAGGGGGAGGGGAGAGGAAGTTTAGAGAGTTTACCATAGGAACACCGGTACACGCCAGAAACTATGGACAGGGCCCACTCTGGGAGGCAGGGACCATTACAGAAATCACAGGGCCCAAATCATACAGGGTAGACATGGGGGATGGGAGAGTTTGGCGCAGACACATTGACCAACTGAGAAAATGAGTAACCGCAAACACCGACGACAGATTCAACAAACCAATCTCTGACCATGACTACCAACCAGAAACACAAACTACAAGCCCGGGTAGAGCGGAGGACTTAGCTGAGGATTCTGGTATCCAGCGCCACCCCATCGAGGTAGTCCAAACTGCCGGAGAAGTCGCCGCCCACAAGGAAGTCCCGGAGGCCTCATTGGCGGAGCAGGGAGAAACAGAAAGTCCCTCCGACCTGCTCGACGCTGCCCCTCCAACTGAACTGCGCAGGTCAACTAGGACTCTCACATGCCCTAGTCACCTGAGAGACGTTGTATGCAAATAACACCCCAAGTGACTTCTGGGAGGGGAGCAGTGTTGTGTAAATAGGTTTGTTTGGCGGGAAGTTCGAATTAACTGACCTTCAGCTGATTGGCTGACCACTACAGTTGCAAGGTATATAAAGGGAGCTGGCTCCCTGGGTTAGTTGCTGGATTCTCACTATACAATAAAGAGCTGTTGTCACTGACTACTCTGGCTTGCTGCGTCCTCATTCACCCAACTTAACACCATTGTCTAGGTGACTCCATTGCCTAGGTGACTTGGATCACAACAAGTATTGACTTTATACTGCTTTCTTCTTTTGTATTTAACAGGCAAAGATTGCACTTGAAAATCTTCGAGACAGACACCAGAAACGACCCGGAAATATACTTAGAGCTTTATTAGAGCGATTTGATAAAAATAAGAAAGATGTTTAGCAGTGGTGGGTTTCAAAAATTTTTACTACCGGTTCTGTGAGTGTGGCTTGATGGGCGTGGCATGGCTTGATGGGCATAGCTTGGTGGGCATGGCAGGGGAAGGATACTGTAAAATCTCCATTCCCTCCCCAATCCAGGGGAAGAATACTGCAAAAGCCCCATTTCCTCCCAATCAGCTGGGACTTGGGAGGCAGAGAGGGGGGAGCGGACCTGGCAGGTATTACGGAGACCTGGTTGGGCCTGGAGGGAGGGGTCCCTCTGGTAGAAATGTGCCCACCAGGCTTCCACGCATTCCATCAACCGAGGTCTCAGGGAAGGGGTGGGGGAGTAGCGGTTATTATTAGAGAAGGTTTTAGGCCGAGGGAGACCACTGTTCCTCAGACGGCCGGTTGTGAGACCCTCCTTGTGAAGTGGGGTCATGGGGTTCAGATGGGTTTGCTGATCACGTACCTGGCTCCCTGCCACGTGGCAGCAGCCCTGCCCGAGCTACTCAACGTTATTGCCGCGGTGGCGGTTGATACCCCCAGACTTATGGTCATGGGGGATTTCAACCTGCCGTCCGTGGGTGAGACGTCTGAGGTGGCTCGGGAGTTCATGGCTTCCATGACGGCTATGGATCTGACCCAGCTAATTCATGGCCCTACGCACATGGGGGGAAACACACTGGACCTGATTTTTGTCTCTGGACAGTGGTTGAGTGATCTCGAGATAGGGGACATAGTTATCGAGCCCTTGTCATGGTCGGATCACTCTCTCCTTCGCCTTGATCTTCGAACCGCTGCTCCCCGCCGCAGGGAGGCGGAACCGATAAGATGGTACCGCCCCAGGCGCCTGATGGAACCTGATAGGTTCCAGACGGAGCTTGGGCCAATGCCTGAGGTCTTGGCTCACGCCTCGACTGGAGACTTAGTGGCCGCCTGGGATAGGGCGGCCGCTGGAGCTCTGGATCGAGTCGTGCCTTTGCGGCCTCTGACCCGGCGCCGATCTCACCTGGCTCCTTGGTTTACTGAGGAGCTGAGGGAGATGAAGCGCCGGAAAAGACGCCTAGAGAGTAGTTGGAGGGCCAGTCGCACCGAATCTGACCGGACACTGGTAAGATCTCATATTAAGAATTACCTAGTGGCGATAAAAGCAGCGAAATGTACTCATCTTGCTGCTCTTATCGCGTCATCAGATAACCGCCCGGCCGCCCTGTTTAGGGTGACCCGCTCCCTGCTCCACCAGGAAGCGAGGGAGGACCCCTTGGAGGGGAGAGCCGAGGATTTTGTTCAGTATCTGTATGACAAAATCACTCAGATTCGGGAAGATCTGGACTCTGACTGGGTAGATCCAGTGGGGATGACGGAGGCAGGTCCTGAGAATGTTATCTGGGATGAGTTTGACTCTGTGACCCCTGAGGACGTGGACAGGATTCTGGGTAGACTGAATGCGACCACATGTTTGTTGGACCCGTGCCCCTCCTGGTTAGTGCTGGCTTCCCGGGAGGTGACGCGAGGCTGGCTCCAGGGGATTATAAATGCTTCATTGAGTGAGGGTGTCTTTCCCGCCGCCTTGAAAGAGGCGGTGGTGAGACCTCTCCTCAAGAAGCCTTCCCTGGACCCGGCAATATTGGCAAATTATCGTCCAGTCTCCAACCTTCGCTTTGTTGCGAAGGTTGTTGAGAGTGTGGTGGCACGACAGTTTCCCCGGTACCTGGATGAAACGACGTATCTAGATCCGTTCCAGTCGGGCTTCAGGCCTGGGTACAGCACGGAAACGGCATTGGTCGCGTTGGTGGATGATCTCTGGAGGGCTCGGGACAGAGGTTGTTCCTCTATCCTGGTCCTATTAGATCTCTCAGCGGCTTTTGATACCATCGACCATGGTATCATGCTGCACCGGTTGGGGGGGTTGGGGGTGGGAGGCACCGTACTACGGTGGTTCTCCTCCTTTCTCTCCGACCGGTCGCAGTCTGTGTTGACAGGGGGGCAGAGGTCGACCCCGAGGCCCCTTATATGTGGGGTGCCACAAGGATCGGTCCTCTCGCCCCTTTTGTTCAACATTTATGTGAAGCCGTTGGGCGAGATCATCCGTGGTTTCGGGGTGGAGTACCATCAGTACGCTGACGACACCCAGCTGTACATCTCCACCCCGGACCACCCCAACGATGCCCTTGAAGTGATGTCCCGGTGCCTGGAGGCCGTACGGATCTGGATGGGGAGAAACAGGCTCAGACTCAACCCATCCAAGACCGAGTGGCTGTGGTTTCCGACATCCCGATATAGTCAGCTGGTGCCATCGCTGACTATTGGGGGCGAAGTATTGGCCCCCACGGAGAGGGCTCGCAACTTGGGTGTCCTCCTGGATTCACGGCTGTCTTTAGAAGAGCACTTGACGGCCGTGACCGGGAGGATTTTTCATCAGGTTCGCCTGATTCGCCAGTTGCGTCCCTTTCTGGATCGGGACTCGTTACGCACGGTCACTCATGCCCTCGTCACCTCCCGTCTGGACTATTGTAACGCTCTCTACATGGGGCTCCCCTTGAGGAGCACTCGGAGGCTCCAACTGGCGCAGAGTGCGGCCGCGCGGGTGGTGATGGGAGCGACGTGGCGCTCCCATGTAACGCCTCTCCTGCGCGAGCTGCACTGGCTCCCGGTGGTCTTCCGAGTGCGCTTCAAGGTTTTGGTCATCACCTTTAGAGCGCTCCATGGCTCAGGACCTGGTTATCTACGGGACCGCCTGCTACCACCAATAGCCTCCCACCGACCAGTACGCTCCCATAGAGAGGGGCTCCTCCGGGTGCCGTCGGCCAAACAATGTCGACTGGCGGCCCCCAGGGGGAGAGCCTTCTCTGTGGGGGCACCTACTATCTGGAACGAGCTCCCCCCCGAGATACGGAGGATTCCGGATCTGCGTACCTTCCGTCGCACGCTGAAGACGTTCCTATTCCAGCAAGCCGGCCTGACCTAAACTTCTCCTCTTTTAAATGGGAATTTTAAATTTGGTTTTAAATTATTGGGGTTTTAAATATGGTTCAGCCAAATTTATCTAACTTGTTTTATTTCTATTTTAAATTTTGTATTGATATGTTTTATTTCATGGCTGTTCACCGCCCTGAGTCCTTCGGGAGTAGGGCGGTATACAAATCTAATAAATGAAATGAAATGAAATGAAATGAGAGAATAGATGGGGGCGGAGCCAGTCAGAATTTTTACTACCGGTTCTCTGAACTGCTCAAAATTTCTGCTACCGGTTCTCCAGAACTGGTCAGAACCTGCTGAAGCCCACCTCTGATGATTAGTCTTTACATATTTTGCTATAGATTAATGAAATTTCCTGTCATAATCCATATCCATACGTACTTCCTAAATGCAATATTTTTAATTGGAATGTATAATTTTCTTTTTATGGACTATTCAGTGAACAATGTTATATAACTTTTTGAAGTATTGTTGTATCAGAATGATAATTATAGATACTATTTTTCTGCTGTAAGTAAAATTATGATAAAATTTTCTCTCATATACATATACAAAAACCCATGGGGTACCGTCAAAAATAAGCAGGCCTGTGAAGATTGCACTCAATCTGCCTCATGGATGTATTTCATTAGTGGCATTGAGGACCCCTCCTTTTCCAAGCATGGAAACCATCATGGATCATGAAGATAGTTCATTTTTATGGGCTTGAAGCAAAATAAAGAAGTTCCTTTGCTCTCTATATATACAATCAGAGTGCCTAATTTACTTTACAGTATTATTTCAGAAGGGCACTTGGGTTAAGCTTTGATTAAAATGTTTCATTCTTCTGAAAATTTGTACAGTCTTGGAATGTCCAAACTTTCAGTTTAGAAATAGCTGAAGGACCAATAGTAACTAGAATAGCAAGCCTGGTCTAAGGCACAACAATATTAAGATTCAGCATTCAAAGTTACGATTTTGCTTTTCTTCTGCTTTCTTGCTGACACCTCACTGACATAACACACCTTGGCTGTGTGACCCTCAAACATCTCTTATCTCAGTCTAAGAAGACAAAAAAGAGAAGAGGACATAGCTGTGGCCAGTGGGATGCTTCAGCATCCCACTGGCCACAGCTCCTACCAGCTCCTACACAGCTGGTAGGAGCTACACAGCTCCTACCAGCTCACTAGAATCATATATTACATTCTGAAGAATTTTGCAAGCCAGTTGTTCAACATTTACCAGCATACCACTCTCCCTAATCCAAGATAGCACCCCAAATGAGAAAATTGGGGTTTGAGAAGCATTTTCTTCCCTCTCTCAGCTTTGAGCTGGACAGACTCAAAGTTCTTATCACTCAGAAGAAAGAGGATTTTTTCCCCAGGGCTGGAGCAGCAGTCAGGAGAAAAGAAAGTAAGGGAGTGAGAAGTGCTTCAAGGTGAGAGTCCAACTTCTAGAAGAGTGAGGTGGAACACAAATGTAATAAATAAATAAACAGAAAAGTAGAGGGAGCACAACAGGGAGAGAAGGAAACTAGTGCAATAGGTAGAAGACAGGCTGAACTTTGTAAGAACAAAGAAGAAACCTATGGAGAGGAGTAGCAAGAGCTTATAGAAATATAGGGTGAAGATATAAAGTGCTATAATGATCAAGGGCTTTAAAGATACACTGTAGATAGAAGGCTTGTAGAAAATAGAATGGCTTGTTGAAATAGAATGGTGACAATAATAGGAGCCTGAGTGGTGCAGCAGATTAATGCTACTGTTAAAGGTAGTATTTAGCTTCCAGCTGCCTGAAATTACTGCGAGTTCAATTCTCACCAGGCTCAAGGTTGACTCAGCCTTCCATCCTTTCTAAGGTAGGTAAAATGAGGACCCGGTTTGTGGGGGCAATAAGCTGACTTTGTATAAAATATACAAAAGTATGAAGGCTATTGCTTAACGCATTGTAAGCCGCCCTGAGTCTCCGGAGAAGAGTGGCATATAAATCAAAACAAAAATAAAAAAATAAAAATAAAATGGGAATAAGTCATTGATATAGCTACGAGTAAAATAGTTTTTGAAA